TGCTATTGACAGCCCCTGTGTGGGCATGCCTTTTGCTTCATTTCTTTCTTGTTTACAATGTTTAAAATTAATAAAAAATATTTGAAATACAGTAAAATGAACAGATAAAATAGCATATGAAGAAAGCAGTCACCACCTGCAAAAAAAAATAATTCTGGGTCATAATAACACATCGATTCAAGTCCTTGTCTTTAGTAGGTTTAATATCTGAGGAATTGCTCTATTTTTCTCCAACCCAGTTTACTCAGAGCTGCCCATTACGGCTGTTGATTTTCACCATCTGTACAGGTCAATACTGTATTTCTACCTCTGGCATTTAAAGTCATGCTTCCTTTGCCTTGGAGAATGATAGATGCATGCCAAGGACTCATAATAAGGTAAATGCACTTTATGTAGCTTGAAATGTCAGATCCTACACCACAAGCCATGTACAATAATATACTGATCTACGTCTCCAATATTCCACGCTTTCCCGCTCCCCCTCTTAGCGCTTCATCACGTTGTTAAAGGTTGTAAATGTTCTTTCCTCATTATGCCATATGAATAATTAAAATAATCACCCAGTTCAGGATATTTACATCCCTGTATAGTTAGTCCCCTGGGTGCTGTTGCCTTTGTTTGGTGGGAAAAGGTCAAAGCTGGAATACTAACTAAGATATATCTTCTATCCTGGGAGAGCATGTAGTGACATTATATTTACTGAGCGATGCACAACGGGACAATGGCAAATTCATCTCTCGTCTAATACGTAGCATACATGGCATTAATATTTAACATGGAAAGAGAGAAATGACTCATCTTCAGGACTTTTATTTTTACCAAAAAATCAATGGCAGTATGAGACAAGGCTTACCAGACATGTCTTTATAGGACAGCTGTAATGGGAAAACAACGGAGACCAACACCGCCGACTTCCTTTGAAATTGATAGTTGTTTGGCTGTCATGAACCTCAGGTATCAGAAAGTGATGTAAGAGTGCAGTCAAAACTCCTTAGACATAGGTGTTGGGGCCAGGAGATTAGCATGATAGCCAAGCAATGAGCATTTTAAGGAGTAGATCAGGCATTAAAATTCATGCATTTTACCAAAGGACAGGTATTCTTAGTGTATGTCTGGGCAAAATGTAAAAAAAAGAAAAATCAATTGTACATCCCTGACATACCGTGCATACACATTTTCCAATGTTTGGTATCTTTTACAGCACTGCAAGTACAGAAAAATACCTGTTGATCTGTCAGAAATGTCAGAAATTCTTCTCATGTCGTGTAGTAAACTGGCAATTCAGCTTCTGCTGCATTGAAATTCCAAGCAGTTTTGACAGCCCAGCCTGAATATTCCTCTGTTGGACTACAGATTTACATAGCAAACAAACAAAAGATTTCTCAGCACATTTACCAGCCAGCTTGCAAAACAATCAAATTTCCCCCGTCTAACAGCTTATGTTAGAAACAGAGGATTTTGTTTGCACACATTTGCAAATATATGCATGAGCCGCAGTGCGCACGCCAAGGGACCTCTGAATATACTGTGGTCCTAACTCTAGAGTTTTTAGTGCCTCCATAGCATAACAATAGATACAGTAGGTTGAGGGCAGGCGTGCCTGGAGGGAGCCCACCCCTCCTTAACCGCTTCCGTGTCAAATACTGCTACAGGGTGGCACAGGTGCGCAAAATCGCATATATATATATATATATATATATATATATATATATATATATATATATATATATATATATATGTGATTTTGCATTTCCGGGTAGGGGGCCACCATTAGCGGCTCCCAACGATCTCTGAGGTTTTCAGATGGGGGAGATACCTGTATGTAAACAATACAGATCTCTCCCCTGTCAGCTTCAGCATAATGCTTTGTATGGCTTTGCATAGCAGAGCCATACAAAGCAGTGTGCTTACAGTGGAAAACACAGACACAGTCCATAGTAAAACAGCACACAGTCAACCCTTTGATCGCCCCAGACTTTAACCCCTTCCTGCCCAGTGTCATTAGTACAGTGTCAGTGCTTTTATTAGCAATGATCACTGTATTGGTCTCACTGGGGATATCAGTGACACCAAATCAGTTCCCCCCAGTGTCAGAATGCCCGCCACAGTCCCGCTATAAGTCGCTGATCGCCGCCATTACGCCGCAAGTAAATAAATAAATTCCAGCATATATATTGCCATTTGTAAACACTATAACTTTCACATAAACCAATTAATTTACACGCATTAGGATTTTTTTTTCTTTAGCAAAGACATGAAGCACAATATATTTTGGCCTAAATTTATGAGGAAATTTGATTTTTTCAATTTTTCTACTGGACATGTTTAATGGCAAAAAAGTCCAAAATATTGTTTCTTTTTTTTTCAAAATTGTTGGTCTTTTTTTGTTTATAGTGCAAAAAAATAAACTCACAGGCGATCAAATACCACAGAAAGAAAGCTCTATTTGTGGGAAAAAAAGAATATACATTTCATTTGGGTGCAGAGTTGCATGACCGCGCAATTGTCAGTTAAAGTAACGTAGCGCCATTTCTCAGAAAATGGCCTGATCAGGAAGGGGGGGGGGGGTAAATCCTCTGGAGGGCAAGGGGTTAAAGGCAAAGGGGTGCATATGACACCCAGCAATGGCAGCAAAGGCATCCATTGTGTCCCTGTACCCAATTCAATCAACTGTACAAAAAAAATGGCAACCAACCCAATGTATAACCAGCCTTTACAAGGTGCACATGGAAGGGCAAAGCACATCGAAAACAAAGATTTCCCAGCACACTTACCAGCCAGCCTGCAAAACAACTGAATTACCCCATCTAACAGTTCACGTTAAAAACAGAGGGTTTTGTGTGCACACATTTGCAAATATATGCGTCAGCCGCAGTGCCCAGGTCAGGGGACCTCTGTATATACTGTGGTCCTAACTAATTTTCAGAGCCTCCATAGCATAACAATAGATAGGCTGAGGGCAGGCATGCCTGGAGGGAGCCCACCCCTCCTTAAAGTCAAGGGGATGCATGTGACACCGAGCAATGGCAGTGAAGGCATCCAGTGTGTCCCTGCACCCAATTTAGTGAACTGTACAAAAAAATGGCAACCGCCCCAACCTATAGTTAGCCTTTACAGCAAGGTGCACATGGAAGGGCAACGCACATCACAAACAAACAAAAGATTTCCCAGCAACACTTACCAGCTAGCCTACAAAACAACCAAATTTACCTGTCTAACAGTATTTATTAACCTCCCTAGCGGTCTAATTATGTCCATATTTCTGTGCTCAAAGGGGTACATTTTTTTGCATGGAAATATGTCGTTTTTTTATTGTAGGTCTGTAATTTTTAGGAATAACTCACTGAAATCTGTCCGAACAAGAGTCTAGTAAACATCCCGGGTATGCTAAAATTTGAAACACTAAATCATAAATTATAATTAATAAATAATCATAAAAAATAATAAATTTAATTCAATAATATCATCAAACCAAAAACACTAAAATTTGAAATATAGCGCCAAGTTCGCACATCACTGAGCAAAGTCGCAAAATCATTTTCAGTGTCTGATGTCGAATTTCCCCCACGAATCATCACTCAATTCTGCAAGTGGTTCTGATTTACTATCGCTGTTCTCTAGCCAGTTTAAAACCGCTTTTGACCTAAAGGGATGCTTTTTGGACTCCATGATCATTTCTCAGTTTCCAGGCAGCAAGAACAGTAAAAATGCAGGCAGGGCACAGGACAAAGCACTCGGGACACAATGTATGTGAAATGGTTTGATACAGTAATGTTTTACTATGTGATTTTAGTGAATGTCACTTAAATCACGTAAATTTTCAAATTTCCTGCCAGTTCCGTTCCCATACGTCCTGACGTCACAGGGAACAGAACCTGGAAGACATTACAGGGGACACTGCAGGAGGGACATCGCGGGAGCGAAGGACAAGGTAAGTACAGAAGTGATCCGAGAGCAGCACTGCAGGGTATTCCTGAGTGTAGCTTGGGGTTACCGCTTCTGGTGCTGAAACTTTACCCCGAGCTACACCCGGGAATACCGCCAGGGGGGTTAAAAACAGAGGGTTTTGTTTGCACACATTTGCAGACATTAAAGCGAATGTATTTTACCTAATGACAGGTATCATTAGCGTATGTCTGGGCAAAATTTTAAAAAAATCGTACAACCCTGACATACATACACTTTTTTTCAACGTTTAGTGCAATGCTGCAAATACAGAAAAATAATAGTTCTGTTAGAAATCCAGTGTTCTCCTAATGTCTTGTAATTCAGCTTCTGCTGCACTAAAATTCCCGGCAGTTTTGTCAGCCCAGCCTTAGTATTCCTCTGTTGGACTACAGATTTACATGCCCTCTCCTCATCTTCATTACATAATGGTTATATAGTCCAATTTTGCCTCTTCTGGGAGTGGAGACCAGTGGTCCAGTATTAGAGACCGGGTATTGTTATTATTATAAAAGATTTATATAGCGCCAACAGTTTGCTCAGCGCTTTACAAAATGAAGGTAGACATTACAATTACAATACAATTTGCTACAAGAGGAAACAGAGGGTATGCCTCCAACAGGTCTTTTCGCTGCCCTTAGTCTTGACACAGTACTGCAGTATTCTGGAGCAGGGGCGGACTTACAACTCATGGGGCGCCCGGGCAATAGGGGATCATGGGACCCCTGTGTCCTCACCCAAACCCAAAAAAAGCCTGTGAAAAAGCAAATAAAAGGTACCAGGGGTATCTCATGGGGCCTCCTACTAAGCCCGGGCCCTCGGGCAGTGCCGAGTGCTCAAATGGTTAGTCAGCCCCTGTTCTGGAGCCTAAAACCGGCTATACATTGATCGAAATTTGGCCGGTTCAGCAGGGACCATCATCTTCTGTACAACTTCTCTGTCCAATTTTCCCTGGTCGATCAGTGCTGCAGGCTATAGCCTGCAATGCCGATCAGCGTATTTTGACGGCGGGGAGGATTCCCTCATTCCATGTTGTGTGTACTGTGGGAGACCAGATACAGTGAATGCAGGGTCCTGGGTTTAGTAACACTTTAATTTGCCCCATGTCCAACATCTTTCTGATAATATTTTAATAGTTTAAAACAACGAACACATATTTTTCTAGTCTAGTAAAGTCAAAAAAATTCTGTCAAGTTTAAGCCAAGTCAATAGGCTTTTAGGTAAAAATCAGCAAATACAGTAACATTCCAATCCTCTCCAAATCCACTTCCAAACAGTGTAGATAGTGTGACCAGGGGCGGACTGACAACTCATGGGGCCCCTGTGTCCTTGCCCACACTCAAAAAAAGCCTATGAAAAAGGTACCAGGGCATCTCATGGGGCCCTCTACTGACCCCGGATCCTTGGGCAGTGCCCGAGTTTCCAAATGGTCAGATCGCCCCTGAGCGTGACAATGAATACAGGTGCAGGAGATTTAACAAACAGTTCTTCAATTCTGTGGATGCCCAGAAAATGTCTCTGTAGTTCCAGATCCTTTCAAGTACAGGGTAGACGTGTGATTAATTTTCTTACTAATCAAAATTTGGGCAAAATTTTTGTTATTTGGAGATTCGGATGTGTCTGAATTTCTGAATCACAATAGTAATGATTTCAACGAATCTGAAATAAATGAAAACAAAACAAATGATCGGAATTCGAATTTGAAAATGCATGTGAATTTGTATAATTAATTTAAATTAGAAATGGAAACATGTTGCCATAATTAATACAGTAAGGTTTAAAAGTGAAAAAGATGATTATTCCTACTTAGGCTGTTTTATAGAATAGAATAAAATAGAAAAGAAAATAAAGGAATAAAATATATAAGAATAGAATAAATAGAAAAAAAATAAAATAGAATATATTAGAACAGAATAACATAGAATAGAATAATACAGAATAAACCAGAATAGAATAATATAGAATGAAAATAAATAGAATAGTATACAAAAGAATAGACTGTAAAGGGATAGAACAGAATAAAAAATAAAATAATAGAATAGAAAATAAAGGAATAGTAAAGAATACATTAGAATAGAATATAATGCATACAGATGTATTCCGAAATTCAAATTTCCAAATTTAAATTTTAGGTAAAGTGGAATAGAATAAATTTATCTTACAAAATTAGAATTTTGAAAAGAATAGAATAAAATGTAATAGAATAGAAAAGATTACAATAAAACAGAATGGAATAGAAAAGAGAGGCACAGAAAAGAATAGAATAGAAAATAAAATAATACAATGGAATAAAAAATAAAAGATTAGAAAGGAATACAAAAAATAGAATATAGCTTCAAAATTAGCATTTTGAAGAGAAGAGAGAATAAAGTAGAAAGAATATAACCATCTTCTGAAATTTAATTTCGAATAGAATAAAATAAAAAAAGAAAATAGCCGTTTTATGAAATTCAAATTTTGGAAAGAACAGAATAGAATAGAATAAAACAGAATAGAATAAAAAATAATGGAATAGAGTAGAATAGAAAAGAATGGAATAGAAAGTAAAAAAATAGACTAGAAAATAGAATAAAATAGAAAATAAAAGAATAGAAAATAATCAGTATAGAAGAAAATAGAAAATTGTTGTTTTCCAAAATTCGAATTTCAAATTCAATTTAGAATAGAATAGAAAGAGTATAGGCTTCCTCCAAAATTCTATTTTCAATTTTGAATTTCAAATAGAATATAATAGAATACATTAAAAAGAATATAGTTATCTTCCGAAATTCAATGTAGAAAAGAAAGTATATAACCGTGTTAGAAAAATTTAATTTAAAATAAAATAGAATAGAAAGAATATATTCGTCCGAAATTTGAATTTAAATTTCAAATAGAATACAATAGAATAAAAAAGAGAATATAGCCATCTTCTGAAATTCGAATTTCAAATAGAATATAGCCATCTTCCAAAATTTTAATAGAACAGAATAAAATAAGAATATAGCTGTCTTCTGAAATTCGAATTTCAAAGTTCAAATAGAATCAAATAGAAAGAATAAAGACATCTTCTGAAATTCAAATTTCAAAAAGAATAGAAAGGAATAGAATACAATATAAAAGAACAGAATATGAAAGAACAGAAGTATCTATTAGAATGAAATGGAAAGAATATAGCTGTCTTCCGAAATTAGAATTTTGAATAAAATAGAGTAAAATAGAAAGAATATAGCCATATTCCAAAATTCAAATTTTAAATAGAATAGCATAAAATAGAAAGCCATTTTCCAAATTTCAATTCCATTTTCCGTTGGAAAAATTGAATCCGATCCAAAACTAATAAACAAAACAAATTTCATTAGGAATGCAATTAAATGAAATTAGTGACTTAACAAATCGATCTGAAACAAAGCACTCTTTTTATTCTACACATGTCTAGTACTGGGCTCCTCCAGCAACTACGTATGGTCCTCACAACAGGCTTTTCAGGGCACATGAGTTTCCATCAAAGGGGAATGTTCACAATCAAAAGAACTCTGCCTCTAGGGTCACCCATGTTGGTCCTGTTTCGAGGCTGACAGTGACGTTGCTGCTGCACACATACTGCCTGAAGGGGGTCAGCAAGCCCCTGGAACCTGTCTTTAATGACACTGCTTCCTACCTCTATCTACAGTGCCAGTTCCTAGCAAATGGGTTCTTCTCCCAATCTACAGCTCTCCCTCAGGGTCCCCTTCATGATGCAGACTGTGCTATCTACTGCATATCTGCATCCAAAATGGTCACTAGAATTGGAGAATTCAGTGACAAACTAGACACAGGCTCTCCTAGGAGGGTGTCCAGAGCTTATGGCAGAGGACACATGGGTCCTATGCTGGGCTCCCCCAGTCACCAGTAGTGGCCGCTTTATTTACTTCCGAAAGGAAGAAGTGATTTTACAATCATAGAATTGCTGTATCATTTTTTTTTAGCACCACCCACCTGAAGGAGCAAGAGTGTTGACCGACCACCTAGCCCACCTTCCTACACCTTCTTTTTACCTACTGTTGTAAAACGTTAGTTGCTTATAGAGCTCAATAGCTCAAGCTATGTGCACACAAAAAGTAAATGAGTCAGGGCAGTGCCTTCTCCCCCTTCTTTTGTAAGAAGCTGTCTGAGACAGCGGGTCTGAAAGTAAACAACCTCTGATGTTTCTTTAGATAACCCAGAGTTCTCTGGGAATCCTATGTCATACCTTAAAGTGTTACTAAACCCACAACAGTAATATCAGTTTGTAACAGTCAGTAAAGCATGCTTGTTATACTCTCTGTGTAACCTAAGGGGTTAATCCTCCAAACTGTGTAAAGAGACTGCTTGATCCTGTCTTATCTGATCCTCCTCTTGTTCAAATGTCCACTTGATAAGACAGAGTGCATGTGATCAGCAAAGGACCAATCAGCACTGTCCAGACAGAGGTCAGGGGTCCTGCATCTTCCTAGAGCAAAATGAAAGCTCCTCCTACAAGCTTTAACCAGTGTTCTGATGGACACTGATAGAAGTCACAAGACTGCTCTAACTGCTGTTAAGAAAAGGTATTTAGAAGTTTATATTTACTAAAATCTTTGCACTTCCATGTTCTGTGTACTGTGGGAGACCAGATATGGTGAATGCAGGGTCCTGGGTTTAGGAGCACTTTAATTTGGGAGGGTGCATGTGATCAGCACAGGAACAATCAGCACTGTTCAGACAGAGGTCAGGGGTTCTGCATCTTCCTAGAGCAGAAAGAAAACTCCTCTTAGAAGCTTGAAAGAAGTCAGAAGCAGTTTATAATTACTACTTACTAAAATAATTGCATTTTCATGTGTGTACTGGGGAGACTGGATATAGTGAATGCAGGGTCTGGGGAGACCAGTTATAGTGAATGCAGGGTCCAGGGAGACCAGATATAGTGAATGCAGGGTCCAGGGAGACCAGATATAGTGAATCCAGGGTTCGGGGAGACCAGATATAGTGAATGCAGGATCCGGGGAGAGTGGATATAGTGAATGCAGGGTCCGGGGAGACCAGATATAGTGAATGCAGGGTCTGGGAAGACCGGATATAGTGAATGCAGGGTCCTGGGAGACCAGATATAGTGAATGCAGGGTCTGGGAAGACCGGATATAGTGAATGCAGGGTCCGGGGAGACCAGATATAGTGGATGCAGGGTCTGGGGAGATCAGATATAGTGAATGCAGGGTCTGGGAAGACCGGATATAGTGAATGCAGGGTCCTGGGAGACCAGATATAGTGAATGCAGGGTCCTGGGAGACCAGATATAGTGGATGCAGGGTCCTGGGAGACCAGATATAGTGGATGCAGGGTCCGGGGAGACCAGATATAGTGGATGCAGGGTCCTGGGAGACCAGATATAGTGAATGCAGGGTCCGGGGAGACCAGATATAGTGGATGCAGGGTCCTGGGAGACCAGATATAGTGGATGCAGGGTCCGGGGAGACCAGATATAGTGAATGCAGGGTCTGGGAAGACCGGATATAGTGAATGCAGGGTCCTGGGAGACCAGATATAGTGAATGCAGGGTCCTGGGAGACCAGATATAGTGAATGCAGGGTCTGGGAAGACCAGATATAGTGAATGCAGGGTCTGGGAAGACCGGATATAGTGAATGCAGGGTCCGGGGAGACCAGATATAGTGAATGCAGGGTCTGGGAAGACCAGATATAGTGAATGTAGGGTCTGGGAAGACCGGATATAGTGAATGCGGGGTCCTGGCTTTAGTAACTTTTTAATTCAGAGAATGCGTGACTGCTAAAATGATCTGAGATAAAACAATACATTTGTGCGATTAGTGTACTGGTGTGTATAGTCCTTGCTATAGAGGATTCTGTTCCTAAATTAAACCTCCCCTGCGGCTGAAGGAGGGATTCAACTTTCTATGATCCTTAAATCTTTTTGCTCATATTCTTGATACCGTAAACTAGCTTAGCATTCAGATTTATCCTGGTAGGCTTTAGGGATAAATGGAAATGAAAGTTCTCATTTCCCCGAAATGTCTCAGAAAACCCTGCACTCTCTATATCCGGTCTCCCCGGACCCTGCACTCACTATAACTGGTCTCCTCAGACCCTGCATTCACTATATCCAGTCTCCCCAGACCCTGCATTCACTATATCCAGTCTCCCCGGACCCTGCATTCACTATATCTGGTCTCCCCGGACCCTGCACTCACTATATCCAGTCTCCCCGGACCCTGCATTCACTATATCTGGTCTCCCCGGACCCTGCACTCACTATATCCAGTCTCCCCGGACCCTGCATTTACTATATGTGGTCTCCCAGGACCCTGCATTCACTATATCCAGTCTCCCCAGACCCTGCATCCACTATATCTGGTCTCCCAGGACCCTGCATCCACTATATCTGGTCTCCCAGGACCCTGCATTCACTATATCCAGTCTCCCCGGACCCTGCATTCACTATATCCAGTCTCCCCGGACCCTGCATTCACTATATCCAGTCTCCCCGGACCCTGCATTCACTATATCCAGTCTCCCCGGACCCTGCATTCACTATATCCAGTCTCCCCGGACCCTGCATTCACTATATCCAGTCTCCCTGGACCCTGCATTCACTATATCCAGTCTCCCCAGACCCTGCATTCACTATATCTGGTCTCCCCGGACCCTTCACTCACTATATCTTGTCTCCCCGGACCCTGCATTCACTATATCTGGTCTCCCCAGACCCTGCATTCACTATATCCGGTCTCCCTGGACCCTGCACTCACTATATCTGGTCTCCCACAGTACACACAAGATGGAAATGCAATTATATTAGTAAATATAAACTGCTAAATACCATTTCCCATCAGCAGTTAGAGCAGTCTTGTGACTTCTCCTACAAGCTTTAACCAGTGCTCAGCTGGAGTTTTCTCTAGGAGGATGGAAATCCCCTAACCTCTGTCTGGACAGTGCTGATTGGCCCTGTGCTGATCACATGCACCCCCCCCCCAAAAAAAAAAAAAACTCTCTAGCAATACACACTAAATTGAGCATGTGCAGAAGGGCATGGTTCAGTCCGTCTCATCACCGTGGGCATTTGAACAAGTGGAACAGAGAAGACAGGATCAAACAGGATTAACCCCTTAGGTTCCACAGTGAGTATAACAAGCATGTATTACTGCATATACAGACTGATATTACTGTTGTGGGTTTAGTAACACTTTAAGAAGTTATCCTGAGATGATGAATCTATAACTTCTCAGATCATGTCATCTTTTAGTTATTCATAGATTTATTTAAAAATTAGAGAGAGAAAATAAATCCCGTATAAGAATACTAGAAGTTTCATTCGCTTCAAACCGTTCCCATTGTTTGCCCTACACACAGCTGTCGCCCACTCCTTTCCTTGTCTCTCAACTGCTTCATAGATAATGGAAAATGTGAGGTTTTTTTTTTAATCTTAGGCAGAACACACAGCAATGGAATCACAGAGGGGAACGAACAGAACCTCGTCCGAAATATTTCTAAGACAGTCTGGGGTCAATTCACTAAGAGTTAAATAACGACTGAAAAAATGCGGTAAAATAACGCATGCGGTCAATTTTTTGCAAATGCGCAATTCACTAAGAATTTTGCGGTAAATAACTTGTGGTGAAATATCGTTATTGCAGTAATTACCACATATTTTCATACGATAATTTATCGCACGGTAGCCGGTTGTTTAGGGAGCCAGCCGCGGCGTCCTAAACAATGACTGACTCATCAGCTGTCATCGGATGTCCTACTGACAGCTGAATGTAAACAAAAACATGCCAGCTGTAACGGAACCGGACCCAGACTGCACTTGGGTATTTCCGTTAGACTCCCACTTCCCTGTCCGAACACTATCCACGGACACCACCGCTGACCACACAGGATGAGACAGCACCAGGCTTCTTAAGACAGGAAGTAGACGGCTGTATTTTAACACAAACACAAGATATATACACAGGGCGGGGAAATACAACCAGTAACAGGAAACACATCAGCAGGCCGTCCCATCAGGGGGAAGGACTGCCCGAAAACACCCCCCCACCAAACCAAGACACACAATAGAACAATGGGATACACCAAGTGGCAGTGGACAATACAGGAACACATACATCCCATAATAGTTTGCTGGCAAGCAAGACACAATAGAACAACCATGTGGCAGTAAACAATGAACAACCCCCCACCCCACCTATACATGTCTACACAATATCAGGACAGATCACCCTGTACCCCTAACAGGCACAGGGTGGCTTACACATAAGAGGATTGTGGGGAGCTAAGACAGGGGTCTCCCCACCCACAAACGTCACTCCCGTCACACCGGCAATTACAAATGATGAAAAAAAAAGTGTGGGCCCCCCCCCCCCCCCATCCATACCAGGCCCTTTGGGTCTGGTATGAATTTTAATTTAACCACTTGCCCACCAGGCACTTTTACCACCTTCGTGCCCAGGCCAATTTTCAGCTGTCAGTGCTGTCCCACTTTGAATAACAATTGTGACATTGTCCTCATATGAAATTTTTATCATTTTTTTCACACAAATAGAGCTTTCTTTTGGTGGTATTTATTCGCCTTTGGGTGTTTTTTTAGTTTTTGCACTTTAAACAAAAAAAAGCAAAACATTTGAAAACAAAAAGTTTTCCTTTGTTTCTATTATAAAATTTTGCAAACAGGTATTTTCTCTCCTTCACTGATGTGCGTTGATGAGGCTGCACTGATAAGCAGCACTGATGAAGTGGCACAGATAGGTAGCACTTTTTCTTTGCACTGATAGGCTGTACTGATGAGGTGGCGCTCTCCGCTCCCCTCCTTGCCCCACCCCCCCTCTCGTTGGCCGGGTGTCTCCAGCAGCCCCATCCACCATGTTGGTCTACTAAAGGCACACAATGAGGATAGTGCACGTACGGGAGGCGGGGCGTCCGCCCCTTCCCCGGCACCAGGGCCCCACCCCTTCCAGCTTTGGTGCCCGGCCCACCACCGCCCCCCCGGTGAGGGTGGCACCCTCCCTGAGCGGATTGGTCCACACATTCCCCCACTGTTGGCAGTGGCCGACCCCCCACGAGGCAGCTACCTGGTTGATCCTGCCAGTAGCATATGCATGTCTCAAAGATTAAGCCATGCACGTGTAAGTACACACGGCCGGTACAGTGAAACTGCGAATGGCTCATTAAATCAGTTATGGTTCCTTTGATTGTTCAATCTGTTCCTTGGATAACTGTGGTCATTCTAGAGCTAATACATGCCGACGAGCGCTGACCCCCAGGGATGCGTGCATTTATCAGACCAAAACCCAACCAGGGGCCCGGGGCTTTGGTGACTCTAGATAACCTCGGGCCGATCGCATGTACTGGTGGGCATGGATGAGGAGGCACTGATGATACTGCACTGAAATGCAGCAATGATGGGCGGCACTGATGGGCGGTGTTGACTGATGGCACAGATGGGTGCAACTGCTGAGCAGCACTGATGGGTGGCACTACTGGGCACTGGTGGGTGGCACTGATGATCTGTGCCAATCTGCTCTGTGACAGCTGCCTGTTATCAGCAATACTTTTGTTACGCTGTGACAGCGTGAGAAAGTGCAGCCGATAACAGGCAACTGTATTTACTTGGTGATCTGCTGTGTCATTGGACACATCTGATCACATGGTAAAAGGCTGCTGTGAATGGCTTTTTACCTCATCATGTGATCAGCGATCATGGAAATCGCCGGATGTGCACTGCTGGGGGCGAGCGGGAGGGCACATTCTGGGAGCACGTCATATGACACCCTCCCAGAACTGGATAACCACGCTGTAGCCATCATTCAGCTATAGCACGGTAAGGATGTGGTTAAGGAAAAAACCGACACCAAGAGGAAAAAAAAACAGCCCTTAGGTCTGGTATAGATTTTGGGGGAAAGTGAAAAAAAAAAATGGTGTGCGGGGGGGGGGGGGGGAACCACACACAGTTTCTCTTTAAATTTGGTGTGGGGTTCCTCTTAATATCCATACCAGACCCCTAGGGGTTGGGGGGGATCCCCTTGCTGCATCTGAAAAAATACCATGTGATACTGCCAACAAAACCCTGGTGATAAATATCTTTTTTTACTTTCTCTGTGAATTAGACATAACAGCTTATTTTTATTTTGTTGTATTTACCGACACATTTTAAATTTTGCGTTTTAAATAGCGCAGAATCGTTTTATTGGGTTTTTTTTGTGAATTGGACATTTTGTTACCGCAGGCGATAATTTATGCAAAGGCATCACGTGACAGTGTTATCGCATGTGGTAAACTTTAGTGAATTTACCCCTTATATCCAGTTCACTGATTCTTTATTGGATAATTGTAGAACACAGTGTTACATGTCCATTATTTATACTGATTGCTCAATGAAGTATATGTTATAATTAGTAATACAGGGTTGTCCCCGTCATTGCCAAAGATACATATCCACTATATGTGTAGTTTATGGACACCTGACCACCCACACCTACATGAACTTGTTGGACATCACATTTAAAACCCATGGACACTTGACCTTCGAAAGATTTACCCCCCTTGATGACCACACCATTTTTGGCACTACACTACTTTAACTGACAATTGCAACATGCAACACTGTGCACAAATAAAATGTACATCATTATTTTCACACAGATAGAGCTTTCTTTTGGTGGTATTTGATCATCATTTTTTTTGTGCTATAAATAAAAAAGACATATTAAAAGAACAATATTTTTTACTTTTGCTATA